GGCAAAGCCAGTGTCCCAGAGGAAGTAACCAAGAGCCATGGAAAATAATGAATTAGGGAGCCAAGTCCAGATAACAGACCTGGGCCCTAATCCATAGACAGTCCCTGTCCCTGCAGTCTGGGTAATCGGCAACTTGTTCCTGGCTGGGTTTCAGAACTGCTATGAACCACTGACTGCTCTGTACCTTCCACATTCTCCCCCTTTTGAATGAAGTATCTACTGAAGTTTAACTGTTCTGTCTTACCACACCACATGTTGGCTGTACATGGGGCAGATAATTTGTCCTTTTAGTTCCCAGGTCTCCAAATTAGGAATTGCTGTGCCTTCTCTTATCCGGAGCTTACAAAGACATTGAGATACCAGGTTTTCAGTCTGATACAAATACTAGGGTGGGACTTGTGGGGAACAAGTTGAGTGTATTTTACATATAGGATGAATGTGAATTTTGACCAGAGAAAGGACTGTGGTAGATTGTCTCCGAAGAAGGGCACAGTAATGTTCCACCCTCAGTGTCCTCTTGAAATATGACTTTGCCACTCATCTCATCAGGAAGTGGAGTCTGTGTCTACTCTCCCTTATTCTGGGCCGGCCCCATGACTTGCTTTGAGCAATACAATGCTGTGGAAGTAACATGATGTGACTTCCAGGCCTAGGCATGAAGTGGCCTTGCAGCTCCCATTCTTAAAATCCTCTTGGATATGAAGCATCTTAAATAACTGGATAGACTCTGTGCTAGTACTGGCTTCCTCTTTACTTGACTGAGTGTGAACTTAGGTGACTCACTTAATATTTGTGAACCTCCTTTACAAAATAGGGACAATGACTGCTACCTCATAGGATTGTTTCAAGGACTGTATCAACCAACCAACAAAAAACATGTTTGAAAACTATTCAGTATTATTTTAAAAGATGGGTTTATTTTTAAAATGTGTAAGTGTACTCCTACAGAGGCACATTAGACACTAGACTGCATACTTAAGATAACTGCTGTTCTGCTGACTCTCTTCCCATTGATAAATTTCTATTAATCAGCTTCTCTTTAAGGAAAAAGTCCAAGTAGTTTAAAATTTCCTGAATGAAGAACAGTGCAGGAAAATACCAAATATTACTAAAGAAATGGCAAAATGAACATTATAGCAGGCATTTTGTGTCTATAAATGTGATTTCTAGTTTTTTTTAGCAGTTACACTAAAACCCCATGGTATACTTAATAGTATTATATACATTCTGTCAAAAAATAAGAACATATCCTCAAATGCAATTTCTAATTTATAAGCTTATGACAAGTTCAAGCTGCTGAGAAATTGGACCTGAAAGTATGTCTTAGAATGATAGAAGACCACTATTAACACTATCATAATTGTATACCTACTGCATCAAATCTGACATTTCAGCTTAATATATTTTGCTGAGAGAGCATACCATTTTATGGCTTCCTAGTGAAATCAAATCCGATCCAGACGTTTTCACTTTTCTAATATAATTCATTGCAAGGTTTTAAAGCTGCCATCTCTTTTCTTCCTTTTTTTTTCAAAAGACTGATGCCCTGGCATTCATTAATTCCACAAGAGCTCATAATGGGTCAATGAGTCAGTGGCGAGCACCTCCATTAACTGTATTAATTTACACTATGTCACCTTAATGACATTTTGTCACAGCTACCTTTTCTGACATCTACATAGCTATTCAAAAAGTAATATAACAACTTTTGAAGGCATTAAGGAAAATTAGTGTAAGAACTTCAGTAAGTTGAATGTCATTGTTACCAAGACTAGGCTAGAGGAAAGAAATTCAAAAAATAATAATAAAGTAAAAACTAACTGATCTGACTCAACTCCAGGGACCTCTCTCCTGAAAGGTCACTTCAGCAGCACTCCTTCTTCCCAGCTTGCATTCATTAGCACAGGAAGAGACTGACATTAATAGAGACAGATAGAATAAAACCATCTACTGCATCCTAGTTCTCTCCTATATGATTAACTGACTAAGTTAGTAGATATTGCAGAGATACTTGTCTTCTCTGGAAGTGGAAACACACTTCCTTAAAAAATATATCAAATGCTGTGTTTTAACAGCCTAGAAATAAGAAATAAAAACTTTAGGTTTTAACACACAAGTAGCAAAACAAGCACTACTCTTAGCAACATATTTTTATCTGATACATCAGGTTTAATCATGAATTCAGAAGATTCTCAAGTTAGCACTAGTTATTACCCAAAAGTCTGATCTTCTCTTTAACACTCTGGTCATGAGGACCCCAAATTCTGATGCTATAAAGGAGAATATAAATATATTTGACTGGACACACACATACATACACACACACGCGCACACGCACATGCACACGCACATACGCACATGCACACGCACTCACACACATTAAATGAACCATAACAAAGCTAAGATGACTGAGAAACCCTACTTGCAATGGAACCTTCTGCAACTTCAAAGATCTTTTTCAAATCAGTAAGAGAAAGACATGTGACCCAACTGAAAAATGAGCAAAAGACAGGAGTCAGTGTACAGGTCAATAAGTACATGAAAAATGCTCAACTTCACTAAAAAAAAAAAAGCAAACTAAAACAAAGATAACTTAGATTTTCACTTGCCAGACTCACAGAAGCTCCATTGTTTAATACAATAGTGGTGATGGGTATAGGGGGTATGGGGAAGGAGGTACCCTTGCACACTGCTGTAAGGGAGTGAATTTTCATCTTTGAGGATGATGGTTTGGCAGTATCTTAAAAAATAAAAAACGTATATTGTCTTTGAGCCATGAGTCCCATTAACAAGAATTAGTCTTTAGGTATATAGAAGGAGTCCATCAGGATGTCTGTGCAAAGATGTTCACTACAGCCTTGTGTTTCACAGTAACAATCAGGGAGAAAGATTCTTCATCAACCAGAGATCACATATATAAATGAGTGTATATATGTAGCATGCTGCCTTTAAAAAGAAAGAGGAAGTCTACATGGCAAGATATCTAAGTCGTATTAACATATAATACGAAAGGTTCACGAGTGGTGGTAAGAGAGCTGAAAACGAGAGCAATCTGTGTAATGCCAACCTGGGGAAATGAGCTTCTCATGAACTAATGAAGTCTTTGGGGGAAAAAAAAAAAAGCTGCATGTTTGTGTTCAGTACAGCTGCTTGAGGATAAAAAACAAAAAAACTCCCAAGTTAGTGATATCCACATTGGTCTTTGTTCTGGATGATGTGACCCCAGGAGCCCCCAAAATACAATTAGTAATAAAATGTAAATGTTTCTGAAAGGGTTTTGAAGAGGAAAATTCCTGGGAGAATTTAGAGGAAAAAGCCTGGTACAGGGCATTGGTTATCAGAGACTGATGGTCTAAAGCATCAATGAAATTCTCAGGCTAGGAAGTGAAATCTAAAACTGTATATAAAAATTAGAATGACTGACCCCAGTATGTGTGTGGGCATGTGAGGGTGGATCTCCAAATTAAGTTGAAAAGCCAATTTTTGTGTATGTGTGTGCAATGATGTCAAATAACAGTGAGCAGGCATTTTCATTTGAAATATGCTGATATAATATGGATATAGCTCTGATTTAAAATATCAATAATCTTAACTGCGATAAGAACCCTTCAATTATAGATAAGAATATTTAATTCACATACAAAATATCTGAGTGCGTTTTATGAACATTGTGTGAATTCTGGATACTACTGTTCAATGGGAGCCTATGGACTCCCATTTTCTGTATTAATTTTCAAAGTGTTATTATATAAGAAACAGATTCCCTCCCTGACTTCACTGGTAACAAATCATTTTAAATGATGGCTTATGGATATTTTAGAGTTTAATTCTCAGCAAAGTTTTAAGATCGTTAGAACTTCAAAGCTTGATATAGTAAGGATGCATATTAAATTCTCTTATTTTTTTACAAAGTAAATATGTTGAATGAATAAATATTCATTTATGTAAAGTTTGACGACAACAAACAAAACACACAGATATGTTACACTCTACTTGGCTCCATTTCCTTTATTTTCTGCTTTGGAAAAACACGGAACAAAACTTGTATTCATCCAATTATAGTTCATTAACACTGAAATTGCCTTTTACAAATGTTTTGCGATAGAGAAGCATAAATATGTAAATGACAATTTTGATTTTAACTCACTAACTTTTGTTGGTTTAAGGCTCTAAATGGAATGATACCATAACATTTTTATACTGAGTGACAGTAATGGGAAAAAAATGTGCCTTAAAGAAAATGAGCTTAAAATAAGAAACACATTTGCCTATGCAATAACCTGGCCATGTAACCTTATTATCAGCAAAAAAATGAGACAAATGAGAGAACAAATATATATTATTGCTTTGAATACAATGTTTTTCTTTTTTAAAACAGGAGCCCATATAAATGAATAACAAATCTTTGTAATTAACAATAGTTAAGCAGTACCAACTGTAAAATTACTCTGCTCTCCGGCTGTTTCTGGATATTGTGTGTGTGTTGGTTTAATCTAATGTGTATTGTTGCATAGTATCCCCAGGCACAGTCAAGTAAAAGCTAAGGCTATATAGAAAAGCCTACATTTTAAATGGGTCTTGTCATTAATGCTTTATTAATTGCCCCAGGCTATGCAAACCCCAAGCCAGGCAAGCTATAACAATATGACACATTAAGGTCAAATCCAATTCCTGCTGTGTTTTATGGAATGGACCAAATATTGAGCTAACAGCAGGAAAGGCAATTTATAGGCTTTTCACATCTCCTGATTATTCGATCTAAATTAGATAGGAATTTTTTGAAATAACGAAAACACCTTCACTGAGTAATAATATAAAATAAATTTCAGTTTATTTTCTGTAATGTTCAAAATTATTTCCTTTAAGGTTACATGTACCATATAATTTTAATATGATGGAACAAAGCTGCAATATAAAACATCTTATACATACCCACTTAAAAAATCAAAATTTCCACATATTTTGAAACTTAACGAATATCAACAAATAAAAGAGCCTACCTTTACATCAGAAGTATCTCTCTGACTAGTTCTCCAAGACCTTGCAACGGACGAGAAGGTTCGATCTGGATGATCAAATTTTCCATCATTTGCATTGAGGAAGAAGGTTGTGAAAGGTTCCTAAGCAAAAAACAGAATCAGAAATTTGACCCCTCTAAACACAGCTGCCCTTGTTCCTGTGTGAAACATGGCTATCTTTAAAACCCTCAAGACGTAGAAGCATAACAGGGTCCTAGAAAGATGCCCCCAAATTAAGGCAGTAGGAGATGCCTGTCTGGGCTTGACTAGGCCAAGGCAGCAGTTGCCAGTCTGCAACTCTGGCAAGTCATTTCACTTCTGGTCTTCTGATCTGTGAAATGTTGGGGTTCCAGTCCTCTATGATTTTCTGAGAAATAATTTTGCATTAGTGACAATTCATAAGTTGGATCTTTCTTTCTAAAAATTAAGGCTATATATATATACACTAACATTGCAATAAGAAAAATCACTCTGATATTGATCACTGCAGTGTGGAATTAGGTACAGAATATCCATCTTAAATTACCTGTGAAAGACTACGAAAGTATTAGTACCACCTTATGGTCTGATGATGTTTTTAAAATGCAAATCCCTGCTTAAAAACCTTCAATAGCTCTTGGGAGTGATTAGGAGAAAGTTTAAAACTACCTAATTTGTTTTACAAGAACCTGAATGATCTGGAACCTGCTTAACTCTTATATCTCACCATTCCTCTCTTCACATTCTAAAATCTTGCCACACTACTCTCACCTCTTGTCCTTTGTATGTGATGTTCCCTAGGCTGGGTACAAACTTACCCATTTATTTCACTATTCTGACCTGGCTAAGTTCTTTTCATGCTTTAAGACTCAGCCATGATGTCATTTTCTCCTGAAAAACTTTCCTTGCGCTACCGCGGATCTCCAGTGTGCTCAAATTGCAACCTGTATTTCCTCAAACAGCACTGAAACATTTATCACACTGGTTTTAAGTGACTGTTAATCTGTCTATATTCCTCACTATGAGTAGGTTCCGTAGGTATCTTATTCATTGTTTTATCTCCAACACTTAGAACAACTCCGGGTACGTAGAAGTTGCTCGATATATAATCTGTTGAATGAAGAATAAAGTAAGTACAAATGACAGTAGATAAATCAGACTTTTTTGTATTCTGTGACTATTATCTTTGGATAACACAGTGACTGCCATCCAGCACATGTCCCTATGGCAGAAAATCTAGGAATAACTTTATTGCAATGTCCTAATGCATTTAATTTTAATGCTTTTTCTGTAATTCTTAAGTTGGGAGTTCTCTTGCTGGGAGTTCTTAGGTTGTTCTTATGTTTTTGATGTCATTAAATTTGCTTCCAAGTTTAAAAGGATTGAATAACATTCATTCTTGCTAAGGATTTCTTAACTACAATTATAGCAAAGATAGATACATATTTCCTTTTCCCTGCTTTAATTCTTCTCTCTCAAGTCTAGAATGAATGATATGTCATTCCCAGGTTCAATAATGCTAAGAAACCTACATGACATCTTCCAAAATATTTTAGTCCTTTTTTTTTAATACGTAATCTCTGTTCATTCCTTTGCATACTTTAAACATACAAGGGGTACATACTCTGTCCCCTTAAACTCCCCTTCTTGCCACTAACCTTAAGGGCTGGCTGTTGGGGTAAAGGGCAACAAATACTGATCTTCCTCAATATTTCCCTGAAATTTAGTATGGCCAGATGTCATCGATTTTGTAAACTTGTAATATGCTGCCACTATTTTATGTTCAGTGTTGGATGAGAGAAAAGGGTGATGAAAGAGATAAGATCAAGAATGATAAAACAATATAGAAGTAAGGGGGACAGTATTGATTCACCTGAAAATAAGATATGCATCTAAGAAGTCCATATTGCTGTTTAGGATTTTAAGTGATATGAGAAATAAATAAATGTTAGTGAAATTAAGTTAGAAAAAAATTATATGACAAGTCTTTCACTAATTTATTTGCTTTTTAGATGTTTAATTCACTATCAAAAATAAGGTAGTGAAAACAATCTGTCACTAAATTATATTAATTAAAATGAGGATATAAAAATTCTAGATGTAGCAATGGTAAACTGAATGAAATATGACAGATTTAAGTTCGAATCTCGGTGGAACTATTTCTCTGTCTTGGGCAAGCTTACTTAACCTCAAGTAACTGTGTCAAGAAACTGTCTCCATTCCTTCATCTGTGTAAACTGGGAATGACAATACCTTGGAGGAATTATGGGATTAAATAAGATTAAATGAAATAACATAGAGAAAGCCTGATGTATCTTACCTGACAGAGTTATAAAAATGACTACCAGCTTTATGCACTATGCCAAGTATTCGCTGTCGGACTTCCCACCAGACTGCCAGCTCCTCTAAGGCCTCATCTGCCTCTCTATCCTCAGCCCCAAGCACAGCACACGGCTCATCATGCTTAATAAATGTTTGTCAAATACACCTAAACACACAATGTATTGTTGGGAGATGGGAGTATGGTGGGTGAGAGTAAGATACGGGTTTTCTTTTCAGTTCTTAACTACTAGTAGGTTTGACCAAACAGTTGTATCTTCAGAACCCACTTTGTTATTGCAGGATGCTGATGGAAGGCATTTAATTTTCACGTAGGTAGTGAGGCAGAGATTAATTTAGAGGGATCAGGCTTGTCTCTAGGTTTTTTAACCTATTAAACAGATGTGAGTGAAAACCCATTTATACATGCAAAGCTGTACTTACCATCAGCCGCTAAAAGCTGATCTCCACCTCAACCTAAATTACAAAATCCTGTCTAGTTTTCAACTCTTAACAAAGACATGCCAAGAATAGCACAGATGGGCTTAGTGAAAAGAAATCTGAAATTAAAGAATTATATTTATTTCTAGTAACAAAGTTATGAATGAAGCTGGTGGCACCTAAAAGCAGAGAATATTGAATTCCACATTTCAGTGTTTTAAGTAGCTTTTAAAAAGATCTGATTAACAACTGTTTTAGGGTCACATACTACATTACTGATGTATATTCTCATTATTCCTGAAGGCCTCCAGTTGCTACAGTGGTAGAGTACTAATAGAAATTGATAACCTATTTGTTTATAAGTATTGATCTTTCAAGCTCTGATTACCGTAGAGATTGCTTTCTTCCATGTGTTTCCCTTTTACCTTCAAGGCACAATGCAAAGCCTTTCTTTTTCGTTTGACCCATGTCTGAATAACATAGAGGATCAGGTGCTATATTAAGCTTGAATAACTTTTATATTTATTTGCCTACCACCTGTCAACTGAGCCATTTTCCATGTGTACTTCAATAGATTGGACATTTTACCATTATATTAGAAAAGTTTCAGGCATGGGAGATAAAATGTATAAATGAATAAATATTAAACAGTAATTTCAGAAATTGCAATTCTGGAACTCATTAGGCTTTAAAAAGTTCAGGTTAGGTCCTGCAATATAAATGGCCAATGGCAGACTTTCTTCTTCTAATTACACCCACTCCAACATCATTTCATATCTTTCAATTCTTTTTCAGTGATGGAAAACTAACTCACCTGGCCTGCACTGGAAGTACCTGTCCTTCTGTATTCTATCATACCCCTTAGTCCCGTCTGAAGACACTAACAGTCTTTCTTGCTTTTGGATGATTACAGATCAACTAATTCCATCATGGGCAACTAATGCTGTTTCCCTGCCGCCTCTTCTCTTGTACTCAACTTCTTCATTCTTCCGTCTTACATGATTTTTGCTTAGTCATCTCATAATAATCTTTTATGTCCTTTGCTTGTTGTAGTTCTATTCTTTTCCTTCTCTTCATTCCATTTAAAAGCCAAAACAAACCTCATTTATGGGTAATAGGTAGTGCCTGCAACGTAACTATAGCAAAGAAAAGATGTATATTTGAAGTGATAGGAAGTATAATAAAATAAAAAGGGAAGGAAAATAACAGCTACTAAGCATTTTTCTGTGCCAGGCTCTGTATTATCTAAGTTAACTGAATCCCTACTATCACCCTTCAGAGTAGGTGTAATTATTCCCCTTTTATATCTGAGAAAATTCAAGGTCACATTCTAACAGATGGAGGAACCATTATTTCTACTGGCCTTTGTCTAATTCCAGAAGTTTATTTTCTCCTATTTCTTTTCCAAGAACTAAGAAGAGTCTTTTAGAATTTTCCAAAAGTTTTCACTAATTAACCTATGTACCTAGCATGCACTAGGCTCTTGGTTAAGTATTTCTCATCTTTCTCTGAGTAAATATGCATTGTCCTTAATGCAGCAGTATTCAAGATAAACACAACAATATTTTATTCAGTAGCACTATCTTTTGGTTTTACTTACAACACGTGCAAAAATGTTTCTACTATACATATATACTTTTCAAGACACATTATGGTTTAAAGAGGCTTTAGGGTAAGCTTTCAAAACAAGCCATAATTTACACAGAAAGTTTCAAATTCTAAACATCACTTCCTTGGAAACTATGAAACGTTTGACAAACGAGTTTTGAATAGGAGGGCTGAAGATACTGAATTTGGAAGGCGAATCAGTTACTGAGTGGTCAGCAAGTCAGGGAAAAAGATTTATTTTTGTATACATGTTATATGACTACGGTAAGATGTAAAGTAAAAACATCCCAAGTAAAATATGTCTTTTAATATTAATATCTGAAGAAACTCCAAAGGCTGCTATAAGTTTATTCATGATTTGCCCAATGGCAGTTGTCAGGAAAACAGTCTTTTCAGAGTCTCATATTGTAGACAAGTGATTTCACTGGTAGTTTGTTTAAAATAACATTTTTAATTTAAAGTAATGAAGTATATATTTAGCATTTTTAAGCAATTATTATTTTTGTCATACTAAGTACACCGAAACAAATAACAAGTTTAATGACTTTAGATCTAAAAGGCCTAAGGTAAAGGACAGACACTTGTTTTAATCTGTATTTTATTTTTGTGAACAAATTCTTAGTGACCCAAATTTTAATGTGTTTTCTATTTCATGAACTCTTTGGAATGAGAGTGAGGAAATCACGATTCCTGGACCATTAGGTTAAACGCTTAGTAAACCATGAGACTGATACTTTTATTTATAACCACATGACATAAGATATTTGGGCTGAGTCCCCATAAAAGCAGTTTTATAGGTTTGTCCATACAGTAGCCACTAGCCACATGTCACTATTGAGCACTTGAAATGTGGCTAGTTCAAATTGAGATGCACTGTAAATATAAAATACACTCTGAATTTCAAAGACTCAGTACCCTCCTTCCAAAAATGTAAAATGTAAAATGCCTCATTTTACATTTTTATATTGGTTACATGTTTAAATGATAACATTTTGGAAATAGCAGATTAACAAATATATTTATTAAAATTAATTTTACCTGTTTCTTTTTTACTTATAAATGTGGCTACTAGAAATTTTAAGTCACATGGTAGTTTACATTATATTTCTGTTGTGCAGCACTGCTATAGACAAGGACATGTGTAGGATAAATGTGTAGAATATTCTGGCATGCCCTTGCATAGATTCAAGTTTGAATTCCATTTCGCTGGAATAATAAATGAACTTAAGGATAAATTCTGAGTTATGATTTGGGAAAGTGTTTAGCTGATTAGGGATAGATGAGGTTAACTTAAATCAGGCTGTTGATAACAAGTATTTTTATGGAGTCACACTTGAAGGAGCCTTGTAAATCTGGCTTCAGACTAACTTGATTAGGTAAAAAAACAGTGAATACCACTTTTTGTATTTCAAAATACTATTGTATATATACTCTCATTTAATTCGCCAAACAACCCAGTCGATAACATTTTCTCAGAAAGGACTCCTGACTTTTTTTCTCATCCTCGAAGTACCTGAAAGAGGTGTCCTGCACCACCTGCCCTACAGGTGGTGGCTCACTAAGGCAATGACTGTCACTGACGGGACCTCTAGTTTCAATGTTTTCTAAAAATTTCCTTTGCTAACAGTTTTGCTGGTCCCTTCGAGAGTTCCATGTGGACTAACCTGATGAACTCAGATTAACTGTGTAGCTTAAGAAGTGTATCTCATGGGCTACTTAAGCCCAGCTACAGCTTTTCTTGGTTTCCAGGGTGGACCCTAGGCAGCAAACAAAACTTGAACTTCAGTGACTTTTTTTTTCTAGGTTTTAATATTTGCTCCTTCTACTGATTTTTTTTTGTTTCTGGTTTCTGTACAGCGAATGGGTAATTTTCCACTGGTGGCAGTAATGATTGAGCATTTAGTTTTGGTTTTATGGTCTTATCATTTGGTGATCAGTGAATCTAATTAATTAGTTTTTTTGTATTCTTGTCTGTTTGCCTATTTGTGAGTTCAAATCAATTAAGAGCATAGTTTATATCCATTATAAAGAAAACCAGCTCTTTTGAGATCTTGACTGCTCAATTTTTGTAACTTTGTTTAGTTTTGACCTATGGCTGAAACTGACGGTTGGAAGTTATAAGCTCTCTATGTGTCTGTGTATCTGGAATTTGAAAAGCATTTGTCTCTTGTGAGTGTGAAGTATTTTCCTACCTCTGGAATTATTATTATCACCCAGAAACTAAAGATGCTCTGTTCTGATTGCTTTATAAATAGGCAATGATATAAATATAATATTCTCAAAATTAACAGAAAATTAAAAAAGAGAACTTCTATACTTTAAAAGTACCAGATTTAAAAAGTATTTCTTAAGAAAATTCTAACTCAGAAACATTTTTATGAAAGAATCTAAGTTCACATAATTAAAGTGAATGTTTGGATAAATTAGACTGATTTAATAACTTTGGTTTAAAAATAGTTTTATGTCTTTTCCTTTAGTTTATCATTACAGAGTTTAGTTTTAAAAATAAGATTTGGGTTTGTTTTCTCAAAAGACTAGTTAGTCCAGACTTCCTTTACTTCTTATGCTGCTGTAGAATTATGAAAGAGGTAAGATCTATGCTCAAACAGAATCATAATTCTGACAAAATTTTTCTTAACAAAAATAATTGTAGTTTGTCACCTATCAATGGCTTGCAAGTTACTTAAAATATATTCATACTAAATTTCTGTAGAAAGTTATTTTTTCCCCCATAATGGAGAGAATGTTTAAGGAAAATCTACAAACTAGAGCTGTCATTTAGGTTTAGGGAAAAAATATTTTTGAAGACAGGAGATGCAGTTTCATATACTCTGCTTTACCAATGTGTTTCTTGGGCACATCAGCCTCATACAATAGAGTGGTCTGAGGTATATCTTAATAAGGGGAAAATTATTGATTAAGAGATTTAATTTAGCATTCTACAGTACCCCTCAGTCACTTACAGTGCTCCTATCTAGACCAGAATGGAGAAGGCAAGAATAAAGGAAAAGAGGTTTGCTAAGAGCTTTTGCAATAATCTAGGTGAGAGAGAATGGGAACCTAAATTAAAGAAAGTGCCAGAGTATAGAGAAAAGGAGATAGAGATATTTAGTTGGTAGAATCTGTGGATGTCTGATTGGATGTAAGAGGCTGGAAAAATAGAGAAAATATCTAGGAAAAAGCTTCCCAATTTCTAGATTGGGCAGCTGAGTGAATAATCATGGCATTTAACCACAGCAGGTTCATGAGGGAGATGAGGAGTTCATTTATTGAAATGCTGCTTATGGTACTGAGAGATATTCAGGTAGAAATATCTAGCAGGCACTTGGAAATATAGGTCAGGAACACAAGAGAAATGTTTGCAAAGAAGAGAGAAGCTGGAAATCACTAGCTTATAACTGAATGACACAGCTCAGCTGAAATATAAAGAAAAATCCTGGGGAATAGGAACATCAAGGAAAAAGAATCTGAGCTGGAGACTGAGCAGAACAGTTAGGATGACAGGAGGCAAACCAGGAGAGGATATTGTAAAAGGAACGTTGAAAGAAAATTTCAAGGAGAGAAGATTAGCAATGGTGTGAAATGCTTCAGGAGACATGATAGGTAAGAAATGGGAAGCTCTATCTGCATAACATGTGACCTTTGCAAAAGCAATTCAGTAAAGTGATGGATGTGGAACTGAAATCAACCAGGCTAAAGACTGAATGGGAGGTGATAAAGTAGAGGCAACAGGTACCACAGTGCATTGCAGGACAGCAGAGGTCGTGCTTTCAGGAATCTGACTATGCAGGGAGAGAGATGGGAAAGAACTGCAGAGTGGGCGGGGGCTGGCAGCAGGCTTTTTTCTTTCTTTTTTTTTTTAAACATCATTGAGACTTGAATATATTAATGTCTTAGGAGAAAGAGAAAAGTAACAGAAAAAGGTTTTCAAAATATTTGGAAACTGGTTGTAGAACATGCTGCCCAAGAAGTAAGAATGAGAGGGCTGGGGGAGAGCAAGTGCCAGTGTGCGTCATTTGTGAGAAAAGAGGCAGAGAGTATTAAGAATGCACTCCAGGGCTAGGTGTGGTGGCTCACACCTGTAATCCCAGTGCTTTGGGAGGTAAGGCAGGAGGATCACTGAAGCCCCAGGGAACAAAAGTGAGAGACCAGCATGGGGAAAAAAGTGAGATGCCATGTTTAAAAATAATAGCTGGGCCGGGCATGGTGGCTCACACCTGTAATCCCGGCACTTTGGGAAGCTGAGGCGGGCCAGTCACCTGAGGTCAGGAGTTCAAGACCAGTTTGAGCAACATGGCGAAACCCCATCTCTACTAAAAATACAGAAATTAGCCAGGCGTGGTGGTGGGCGCCTGTAATCTCAACTATTCTGGAGGCTGAGGGAGGAGAATCGCTTGGACCCGGGAGGCAGAGATTGCAGAGAGCTGAGATCACGCAGTTGCACTCCAGCCTGGGCGATAGAGTGAGAGTCTGTCTCAAAAAAATAAAAAATAAAAAAAATAATAACCACGCAAGGTGTTACGTGCTTGTTGTAGTAGTTACTTGGGAGGCTGAGGCAGGAAGACCCTTTGAGCCTGGGAGTTCAAGGCTGCTGTGAGCTATGATAGTACTACTGCACTCTAGCCTCAGGGGCAGAGTGAGAGCCCCTGTCACTGGGAAAAAAAAAAGAAAGGTATGTACTCAATTTTGGCTCCTTTATAACTGGACAACTGGTTTGGTTTAAGCTCATAATACCTAGCAATAGATAACTAACTTTCTAATCCAATGTTGCAAATGAGACAACTCATTAAAAAATTCGTATTTTGCTACTTTGGAATCTTTAATTTCTACTTTACTTGTCTCTAATCTTTGTTTAGAACAAATTACAACTGATTTGAATTGTATTTAATTTACTTATGTTAAAAATTTTAAGGTACCAAAGGCAAACTAGCTCAATGAAGATACTCACAATTCGAACAAGCCAGGATAAAGTAGATGTTGCTGTTGAATAATGGGTATTATAATGATAGGGTGGGCTTTGATCATCTTCCCATGTCTCATAACGCTCTGCGTAAAACACAGCTCTCTTTGGGTTCAAAGCACCAATTGGCTATTAAAAGAAAAAAATATTTTGTTTAATACAGTCATATTAGATATCCTAGGTAATAAATCTTTATACTTTCAGTATTTCACTGTTAATTCCTTTTAGCCATACAGCATAAATACATTATTTTGTATTACATTTTTAAACATACCAGATTTTGATATTAATTACAAATCATTACACTTGTTAAAAACTGCCCAAGAGGATGATTCATAGATCAAAGTTTCTAGACTTTACTAACACTTTTTGTAAACTAGATTATCAGAGGTGATCTCATTTAAACTGTTAAGGTCACATCAACAGTTTTGTTATTTTCCTATTACTTAATAAGCTACATAATGAACATTTAGCTTGGAATACAGGAAACCCAATGCAGAGAAGGTGAAGAGATTGACCATTTGACAACCATATTAGTGAAAACCTTGTCTTAACAGCCGGTTACCCAGAGTGTGAAAGACAACCCTCCATATGGAACCCTGATAGAATGTTAGTCTTATTCTATTAGTATATAGGTGGAACAACTATCCTTTTTATTGTTAAACTATACACCTAAGGGTGATGGAATAATTCAGGAAATTCAGATTCCCTGGAAAGCATTTTGCAGAGGCCACTAAGACCTCTCCTATGAGTACCACCACCCTATTTACTGATTATGATGCTAATCCCTATACTGATTTATTCAATAAAGCATGTGCTTAACTGCATCATAGTCTCAAAATTTTAGCACATCTAATCATTAGGAATTTCCAGCACACCATCTTCATGATTTCCAATAGCAAACTACCTTAGCTTAAGTTTTTGTCTGATTTTGGATTAATGGTATACAGAGTCCGTGCTTATGGTATCAAATAAACACATGATTTTGATTTAAGTTGCATACTAAAAAAGTAAGTAGGTTTACAGAGAAAACAAAAGAAGAGTACTAAGTACAATGTCTAACTACTTTATTTCAAAATTTAATATTTATAATCAACTATGAAGATCCCTCGAAGGCTTAATTTTAACAAGAGAAGTAGTAGAAAATTAGTGTTTCAATGGGACACATAATGTTACACAAGGGAGGAAGATTCATTTATAAATTGTTATGAGCCTTTTCTTTTGGCCTCAGGAGACTAATTCAAATAACACAATGAGGTCATCAGCAGTAAAAAGTCTGTTAGAATTTCCATAATAAACTCTTATTTGCAAGGGTGCTTATCCTGAATATTTAAATTATTTGTAAATTATGTTCATTTTTTGTTAACTTTAATTATGATTAACAAAAGACTCAACATTTTATTTATATAAAAGCTGCAATTTTCATGCACAAGAATGTTAATATTTTAAGGTTCCTAAACTTTTTTGTCTTCATTTTGTAAAACAAAGTATGATAGTATAAAAATTTAGATTTTTAAAAAATGTTCTAAGGTTTAAACTTTATTGTGTTAAATTTCACTGATTATCTCCCAAATCTCTTTAGATAGACGTAAAAAAGGTAATGTAATTTTGTTAAACATTATATAAAATCTTAATACTATTTAAAACAACATAATTACATTATTGGTAAAAGAGTAATTGTTATAAAGTGAAATGAATGTAAAGTCTGTTATGGAATTGAAGTAATGAGTTTTTTATTTATTTCATTTAATTAATTAATTTATTTTTTGAGATGGAGTCCCGCTCTGTCGCCCAGATTGGAGTGCAGTGGCACGATCTTGGCTCACTGCAAGCTCTGCCTCCCGCGTTCACGCCATTCTCCTGCCTCAGCCTCCCAAGTAGCTGGGACTACAGGCACCCGCCACCACACCCGGCTAATGTTTTGTATTTTTAGTAGAGACAGGGTTTCACCATGTTAGCCAGGATGGTCTCCATCTCCTGACCTCGTGATCCGCCAGCCTCGGCCTCCCAAAGTGCTGCGATTACAGGCGGGAGCCACCGCGCCCGGCCCAAAGTAATGAGTTTTTCATTTAAAATTACCTACATCTTTCATACTTTACTAGATGTTCAGATATGTTTTTCTAACTCAGTAAGTATATTTTTCAAAGCACTGAAAATGTTTAATACTTTGTTCTGTCGTGAATATGCTAATAGACCTTTCGCATGCACAAAATGTCTGTGTAATCCCTAAGGTTTGATCTTATCTGATACTGTTTGTCCTGTAAAATCTCACAAAGCATTCTTTAAAAAGGAGCATGGCTCTTCCTCTAATCTTTTCCAGTCTTCTCTTACATTTCTGGAAAAGGAAAAGTAAAGACTTATATTTTTTATTTTACGCAAGTTTCATCAAAGTCATTTTATTGCAGTGTTTTACGGAGTAATGCTGTGTAGGAAACAGCTGCATGGTATTAAAGTCTGCATATCTCTCCATTAGTCACTTCTTACAATATATTTCTAATTTTGAATTTTTACCTAATAAGGTTAGAAATGACTTTTATGGAACATAATGTAAGTGATTTGCTTTGTACTTAATATTTTTCTATCGTTTTGCTTCTAATAGTCAAACAGCAATAAATAATTAGAAAGCAAAAAGCTTCAAAATGTTTGTTTGGGGAAATGAGAATTTTGTCACAGATGACGTATTTTCTTAAGAGATCATAATAGATACCTATCATATCATATTTATCCATCCATCAATCAATTACCTACTTACCTACATATTGACAAGGTTGTAACTTTGCTATACTTTAAAAATTTTAGCAAATACTGCAATGTCAATATCATTTGATTTTTGGCAGACGCATATGGTAAGAATTCTGGTAAAAAGGTAAGGCTACACTTAATAAAATTTATAAATTTACTTTGCAATATTTTTCAATTTTCATCATAGTTACTACATCAATAAATAGTTTCCTTTTCTGTCAAACAGTGGGCATTTGGATTCAGTGACTTCTGTGCTTTCTAAGTGTTACCACATACAAAAGTTTAACTGAAAGTTTAAACCCTACTTTTAGATTTATTGCTGTTTCGTCTTTTTTAGTTTTTATGTTACAGGTGAACACTTTAAAATAGGAAAAAATGGTGCAAAAAATGCAAAAATGAAAAATAACATTTCTATCCCCATAAAACTTTATTATTATAATTCAGTTTTAAAAACTGCCAAAAAGCCTACATAGCTTGCAAAAAAGCACTATTTCCAACATGAAAGAATTCAAGAAGTGACTAAGGTACAAAAATTCGCATTCCTTATAAAATTTACGGGAAATTACATGTGTAGCATTAGGATGTTCACATCAAACACTACGTTAGTTATTGAAGAAGTAATGCTGAAAATTTTCTCTACTCTTATCACTCAACTTCCCTGTTTTGAAGACCAAAAGAGAAATCTGTTTCGAACTTCAGTGTTACAAAAAGTTTGGTTTTCCTAAAAATAAAAACCTTTGTGACTTTACTACATGAAACAAAAATTCTACCAGAGGTTTGTTGGGATTTACATGATCTTAAGGCTCTGAGAAATATTATTGTAAATATAATTGTTTAAATGTATTTATTCCAGTGTTTCTCTTGATTTATTTTATTTTTTATGAGAAACACATACTTCTTTTGTTTTTAGAACAACTGTTTAGATGCAATACCTTAGATTGTACTTTGAAAAATTCTGGCATGTATTCGGTGTGTATTTCTGCATGCTAACTTTTTCTTTAGTTTCATTTTTCTGTTTTCTCTTTCTGTTCTCTTAGCCTTGATTTATCAATATTTTTCTGTCTTTTAAAACCTGCATATTGTACAAACTCCTCTTCTTAGAACAGGTATACAATATATAAATTTAATAAGTAAAAATGACTGCAAAAATTATATAAATAAAACATATTGTATAAATGGTATTATATGAAACATCAGAAGAACTTTTAGAGAACATAAAAGTCTGAGCACAGAGTTACTGATTTAAATAAATACAAATAAATAAATGTGGATTGATCTGATAAATGGTCAATGTCATCAAACTAGATGATAATTTTCAAGAAAAAGAAAGTTTGTCAAGGAGAAATCGGAGGCCTAGTTAAAGCAATGTCAATAACACTGAATTCTAATATATCATAAAAAAACTGAAAATGATAATGATGTTCATGGTCCTTGGATTCTACTGTTACATAGGCTGAGCATCCCTAATCCAAAAATTTGACATCTGGAATGCTCCAAATACCAGAACTTTTTGCATGCCAACATGACACCATCTTAAGTGGAAAATTCCACACATATATACTTAACACAAACTTTTGTTTCATGTACAAAATTGTTTAAAAAAAAAAAACTGTATAAGATGACCTGCAGGCTATATGGAATATGGTGTATATGAAATGAAATAATTTTTTGTTTAGAATTGGGTCTGTTCCCAAGCTATCTCATTGTGTATATGCAAATATTCTGAAATCTGAAACAATCTGAAGTCTGAAACACTTCTGGTCCCAAGCATTATGGATAAGGAATACTCAAACCTGCACACATAATGTGTTCAAGAGTTTACTACTGCTATTAAAACTGCCGATGATACTACATATTTGTGAAACATACTGTCTTCACATCCATTTTCTAGACTGATTTTCATAAGTCTCTGAGGACAGCAAGGCATTCAATATGAACCTAATTTCATGATGAGCAAACAAGTACCTGGGTCTCCACATTCTACACTACTGCACTGCTTTTTCATTGCTAAATATGAAATTCTGATCTTAATGTGACTTTATTTTTTAATAGAGATGAAATCTCACTATGCTACCCAGGCTGGTCTCGAACTCCTGTCCTCAAGTGATCCTTCTGCCTTGGCCTCCCAAAGTGCTGGTATTACAGGTGTAAGCCAGTTTGCCTGGCTCTTGATGTGACTTTTTTCTTTTATAACTACCTACTTAATTCCTCATTCCTCATAGGTCCGCAGAAATGGAAGGAAACATTCAGGTCTACTTGACCAAATCCTTACAAATGAGGACACTGAAGAAAAGTCAAATGAAGATCATGTTGCTAGTCAGTGGCTAGACGTTTTACAGAACCAGCTGCAGCTCTGTGCTAGATACAGCTTGAAGCTGGGTACATCT